TTCTTGGTAAGTTTTTGTATTGGTTTTCGCTTTTTTTTTTTTTTCCTTCAGGAAAGCTGTTGAGTTTTGTTAGACACAGTGCTAGTTACAAAGTATGTGGTTGTGACTAAGAGCTTGAATCCCTCCTGGATCTTATTATTATAAATGAATGTAATGGTTACGTGGGATGCTCACAGTGAGCCCAGCCCATGTGTCACTGGCCTTCTTCCCACCCATCTGGGCAGCCCTGCCTGTGGCTCACCTGAATTACTGGAATCTGCCAGAAGTGAGGCTGCAGTTGTCCCAGCCCTGGACACATGTTTTACATTCAGTGGTTGAAGGAAAGCATACTGAACATATTGTTTGCAAATGTAATGAACATAATGTTTAAAATAGACTGATTCTATGTTCTGACCCTCTTAGTTAGGCCATAGTTTCCTTTTAATGCAAATATTGGTTGCCAAAAGATTTGTTTCAATACAAAATATGTGCAGCTATACATGTTTTATCACCTTCATTATTTGGGACCCAGTGAGGTTGGAGTTGGGGAAGGGATCACCTGCCCTACTATTTAAATATTCCATCTTATCAAAGAGGTGTTTCATAAATTATGTACACAGTAGATGCCACTCAATAAATATTTTATATGTGATAGATACTTTTGTCTGAAATCACTTTTTCACTTGAGCAATGATTTAAACCCTCGTCTTTAGTTTTATGAGGTGACACTTTTATAATATCTGTAGTGAATGCAGCTTGAATGCCTTAGAGCTTTAGGGCAGCATTAATCATAAATTCATCTGTTCCCCCCCCCCCCCCAATCCTGGGAAACTTTCTCTTAATTCAGGTTTTATCCATTCCATGTATGTGTGTGAATGCATGCTGGTATGAGTTAGTGTGTGAGTGTATTGGGGATTGCTGAGAACAGGTAATGCTTTTGACCTAGTGGCTCCAAGTTATGGTTTTCAAAGTCTCTGAGACTTATTTCAGGGAAGGAAAAAGATTGATTTTCAGTGGTTAAAAAAAAAAAAAAGATATTAAATTAAACTGGGATGTAGTCCAAAACAATTTCTTTAGCGTGAGTGGGAGCTATTAGATTTTTAAATATTGACTTTTTTTTTTTGGGGGGGGGTGTTATTGTACACTTTTATGCAGAAAGTACATATGTCTCTGGATTTATGAGAACAGTCACTTTTCTTTGCTCATGGACCTAGAGACCCAGAACAGTTCACATGCACTTGACCGGAATTGAACCTGGGACCCTTCAGTCCTCAGGCCGAAGCTCTATCCACTGAGCCAAACCAGTCAGGGTCAGGGCTGCATTTCCTTTTCTTGAATCTAAGTTATGTATTGGCCATTTTTCTCTGCATCTATGTAATGGTTGTTAAATTGCTTTCTTTCAAGTGGTACTTTTTATGTTTTATTTTTAACCATCTTTTTTTTTTTTTTTTTTTTTTGCTACTTCATTCTGTTGCCCTCTTGCATGACACCAGCTCTGTGTGTGCACCTTTGAGACTCAAATGCCTGCAGAAGGGGAGGCCTGAAGTTTCCACCACCCTTCCCCAGAACCTTTTAGGAGCTGCCTTGTCTGCAAAGTTGTGAAGTCCTGATTCCTTCACCTAGAGAATGGCAGATTTTAGACATCATTTTAATATTTAAATGACATAAAATACATTTAGCCATTCCAGGAATGTAGGGAGTGTCGCTTATGTTTAGCATTGTTGGGTGCTGGCGTTCCAGAGCTGTGCCTTAGTCATGCTGTCTTATTGTTGAGGTGGGAGAGGGGAAGAAATTCATGAGGAGGGTCTCTGACCAGGAGCCTCAGGGTATTGCTTGGAACTTGCTCCCTTGTTGCTCCCTGTGCGCCTACAATCAGAGCATAGTGTCATGATCTTAGATGTGACTCATCTTGAACTCAGCCCAGCCCAGCCCAGCCCAGCCTCAAGGCTGGAATTTTCACCTTCAATCTTCTGGAATTTGTCTGATTTTCCTTTGACTTGCCAGAAGCCTGATTTTAGGGGTTTTGGTTATTTGTTTTTTGTTTTGTTTTTATCTTTGGTCAGATGGCCTGATGCTGACACAGACCTGCCAGTCTCTTCCCTGAGGGGCTGCCATTGACCCTCCTCCCTGCATTTCTCTGAACTCACTCTAGTTTGAGTGGGAGCTATTAGAGTTTAAATATTAATTCATTTGACAAATATTGATTGAGGAGCTACTATGTGCCAGACATGAAATTAGGCACTGGTTTATAGTATTTATGTAATGTACTTGTATATAACATTATATAGTGATAACTGCTAAGGAGAGAAACCGTTCAGGATAAGTGAGGTTGATGATTACTCTCGTATGGGGCAATGGCAGAAGGTGGCTTTTGAGCGAGACCGGAGGAAATGAGGTCCTATATATGTATATAAGGAATTCTTCTAAGCTAGGGCTGGTGTTTTCCCCTAGACATTTCCTTGTGTCTGGAGATATTTTTGGTTTCACAACCTCGGGGGAAAGAGAGTGTGCTACTGATACCTAGTGGGTAGAGGCTAGGGATGCTACTAAACATTCTACAATACACAAAATATCTTCCTATAATGATGAATCATCTGGTCCAAAGTGTCAATTGTGCTGAGGTAGAGGATCCCTGCTGTAGGAGAAGAAAAGGAATAATGTGAGATGACAACAGCAACTACAAAAGCAGAAGGAAAAGGGGAAAAACAATGACCAGGCCTGAAAGTGGGATAAGGCTGGCAAGTTTGAGGACATCAAGGAGCTGAGGGTACCTAGAGAGGCATGAGCAAGGGAGAGAGTGGCAAGAGATGGGAGCAGGAGATTAGCAAGCCATGTGATCATATAGTACTTTGAAGAAGGATACAAAGACTTTGGCTGTTATCTCAGTGAAATGGAAGGCCACATAAAGGATATGAGCAGAGGAGTGGCCTGCCCTAATATCCATCTGGCTGTCTAGTAGAGTATGAAACATGGCGGGGGCTTGAGTGGTAGTATCTTTGATCACTGTGGTGATATAGTTAAAAGATGCTGTGGTTGGGCTGGGGAAAAGAGTGGTACAGGTGTCTTGATGCTATTAGATTATTAGATTATAACTGAAATGTGGATTCTGTTGCCTGTCATAAGGAAAACTCATGAGAGCAATGCTGGTAAAAGGAAAGAGGTTTATTCAAGTGCCGGCATTTCAAGAAGATGAGGGACTTTTCCCAGTCCTCAAAAAACAATCTTAAGATCTCAGTGCAGGTGGAGGTTTTTTATAAGGAGGGAGAAGGAAAGCAGAATCAAAAGACCATGGTAGGAGCTATGGACATGCAGGGACTGTCCTCGCTGGTCCCAATATGATTCTCATGGTCAGTGTCTTTGAGTTGGTCATGTGTTTTTATTTTTTAATCAATGAATTTCTGTGTCTGGGTAATCAGCATTAGCCAGGCCCTTAAAGGTAAGGGTGCTCCTTAGGTTCACAAAGGAAATGAACTGCTGGATTGTGAAGTCTACTAAAAAAAAAAAAAAAAAAAAAAAAACACAAGAAGAACACACAAAAAAAACCCTTTCAATATCTAAGCTCTAGTTTTGAGAGAAAAATCAGGTTAGTGTAATAAGCTTGGTTTAGCATTTACTAAGGTTAATATGGGTAGCTTTATATAAGTTTAGCATATTCATTCCACATTACATTATTGGGGACATATTTTGATGGCAGAGTCAATACTAAGTATGTAATGTTAAGAGAAAGAAAGGAACAAAGTAGAGCCATGATTTTGGATTCAAGTAACAATAAGGAAGGTTGGCATTCACTGAGAAGGGATAATGTGCAGGTTTGGGAGGCAAGAGGAAACAAGGGTAGGCTTTTATTTATTTTAAAAATCTTTATTGTTGAAAGTATTACATATGTCTCCCCTCTTTTTTTCCCCATTGACCCCACCCAAGAAGGGTGGGTTTTTTAATGCATTAAGTCTGAGTTGCCTATTTGGTATCCTCACAGGTATATTGAAGTAGGCAGGTCTGTTGCATGAGAAGTCTGCCAAGAGATTTAATGTGAGAATCATTAGCATGTAGATTACAGGTAAAGTCAAGAAGAGATCACCAAGGGTTGACCATAGATATTACATACCCAAGGATGAAAGACCCTATGGATTGGGATCAGTGGAGAACAGGAGGGGAGGAATTGAAGAACTAAGTGTAGGGTTCTCTTTTTAGGTGATTTTTTCTAAAAGGCAAGAGAGAAATTGTTGACAGCTGGACAGAGATACAGGGCCAAGGGAAGTGGTGATGGTGGTGGTGGTGGATGGTGGAGGGTGGGAGATCCATCACAGATTTGTGGGGATGTGGGGATGATCCATAGATAGGAGAAGATGATGCAGAAGACAGAAGTGTGTGTGGTGCTGGGGCAGCTAATGCACAGGAAAGGCCTCATTTTAGGAACATACACAGGTTATCCATAGTAACTGGAGAGAAGAGCCAGCGAATTAGGAGACATCTAGATATTCGATGAAATAAAGGTTTTAAAGAGGGAGAAAGAATCCTTTGTAGTCTGGTAGTTGTAGAACCTTTCCTAAAGAAGGAAAGATTTCAAAGAGGTTGTATAAATTAGGCAATAAGTTTAATTCATTTTAATTGAGCTTTTATGTTTCAACTTTACTTTGCCTATCATATGCCAGGAATGCAAGATAACGTTTAAGGTCCATTTTTCTTACAGTATTTTTGATGAGAAATAAAAAATTTTAACACTCTAGAGCAATGTTAAAGTAGTTCTACTGTCATCTTCCCGACAACCTTCAGAGCATTGTTTCAGAGAATTGTTTTAGAGCCTTAGTGAACTCTGATAGCACTGAGGCTGTGGCCTTCCCTGGGACATTGCCATGGGTGACCACTAGTGGTCCAGGAGGTCTGAAAGGTTGACGACTGCTGCTCTAGAGAACACCTAAAAACAAAAAAAAAAAACATCAAAAAACAAACAAAGAAACAAAAAAATACCTAAAAAGATGTTCTCTTTCCTTAACGATGTTTTATTTCACTTCTGATTTCAGGAACAAACATTAGCTCTTAGAAAAGAAGGTATTGGAGTTGTTTTGGATTCTGAATTGCCCCATTTGATTGGCATTGATGATGACCTTCTGAGTACTGGAATTATCTTATATCACTTGAAGGTAAAACTGCCTGAGTGGAACATTCTAATTTTGTTTTCCCATTATCCTTTATACACTAGCAAGGTTTGTTATAATATTCTGTGTCCCTGAACACAGCTATTACATTAAAGAATATGCAACAAATCCTTGAGACCTTTTGGGGATTTTCCAAAGTTCATTGGGGCTCTGTGGTATTAGAATTTCCCATTTTTATGGAGTTCTAAAGCTAAATGTGTAGAATTAGCAAAGACTGATAAGGAACAAAAAGGCAGAGAAGCTGGGGAAGAAAAGTCACAAGTACTTGGAACCGGGATTGGCTATATGTTTCCAGGCCATCATTTTAATTTTAAAGGTGTGTCTCCTGACTACATTATTGGACCTGATCCTAAACAGGCTATTCATGTCAAGGGAGCAGAATTTCCACATCCATGTCAGTGGTTGCCTCTGTACCCTTGACTTTACTTACCTCTCTCTGATCCATGGCTTTAAATGAAAATGGTATTGCATTGTGCTTTGTGGACACTTTTAGACATAAGGAAACCCTCTTCACTGGAGGAGAAACTCTCCAGTAAGGATCAGAAACATCACTGAGATGACTGTCCTGGGCAGATTATAGGCCAAGCTAGGAGCCTACCCACTGTTGGACAGTAAGTCCCAGGAGTTCTCCTGTCATCTTCCCGACAACCTTCAGAGGATTGTTTCAGAGCCTCAGTGAACTCTTCTAGCACTGAGGCTGGGCCCTTCCAGGGACATTGCCATGGCTGCCGTGGCATTCTCTGGGACATTGCTTATCAGGTCAATTAGGGTTTTAATGAAAATTGAAGAAGCGGATGGCTTTCATGTCCTTACTAATAAGTTTTACTTGTCTTTTCTCAGGAAGGTCAGACATATGTTGGTAGAGAAGATGCTTCAACAGAACAAGATATTGGTAAGAACCTTCCTCAATGTTCTTTTACCAGTGAGTTTTCTTTTTTAAACCTCAGCCAATGATTTAAAAAAAAGTAGATTTGAAATATTGTTGTGAGCAAGAAACATTAGTCGGTTGCCTTCTGTATATACCCTGACCAGGGATTGAACTTTTGGTGCATGAGATGAAGCTCCAACCAATTGAGCCACCCAGCCAGGGTGCTAATGATTTTAAAAATCATTTAATGGAGAACTTTTGAGTGATGGACATGAAGTAATTATAAAAAGAAATCTTTTAAATATTCTATATTTATGTGTATTTCTATAATGTGGAATTCAAATTAATAAAACAGAAGAATTAATTTAGTGAATAAAATGAAACTGAATTCTTTCCCCTCACTCTCCATGTATTCTATACTTTGTGGTAGTTTTCAAGAGTATAGTTATTTAAATCACTCTACTCTTGTCACAGTGGGACACTGATGGAAGTGTCAACAGGCACAGGTAAAGGATATAAAGCCCCTTACTGGGAAGGATATAGACATGTACCTGCTCAAAGATGAAAATGGGAAGTAGAATACACACATGTACAGCATACACACACATGGAGGCACGGCTCCCTGGGTTTCCTAGTGATGGTGCCTGAGCAGGGTGAGGACATGCCAGGCTTTACAAGCGTAACTTTGGGAAATCATATCAGTGATGGTGGTGTGGGTATGTGTGTGGGGCCAGGTGGGGTTGGCAGGGAAGAATTGTATATTCACAGCTGTTTTTAGAATTGCTGGCAATGAACTTAGTTTTCTACCAGTGTAAGTTGTTAATCAAGCCAACCCTAGGAATTCCTACATGTATTTATTGTTTGCTGTGAAACTGAGAGAGCAGAAAACCAATTCCAAGAAGTCCTTAGGATCAATAGTTTTTGAGTAGAACTAGGCATCAGACCTCTTCTTCCAATCGTTAAATGATGTGTTTGACCTTTGAAGTTGCTTTACATGATGGTGAGTGGCAGAACACGTGTTTTCTGTGAGCAGAGAAGTGCAGTTCTGTGGGGAACAATGGGAGATACTTCGTCTGCCCTGAGCTGCTGGTGAAAATCTGTGCCTAAAATCATGTAGGGTTATTTGATAGGCGTTCACATCCATGCCTGCCATTCATTAAACAAGAATAACTCAGGATGGCCATGTGTGATTAGGGAAACCTTAGCTGCCACATGCTCTGCGATGAGAGGTCTGTGATGTTAAGTTCTCTCAGGGTTGTCACAGGCTATAGCAGTGTGCTTCTGGAGACTTCCTGGGGCCACCCAAGATCCATATCATGCCAACTTCATCTTTGATTTCTGCTCCTGGCACATAGGATCTGTATTTAATATGGAGGTCACAATAAGTTTTTAAGCATTGGAGCCCTGTGTTCTCTCCATTTTCTGTGAACTTTGGTTGACAAATGAAATAAATTTATTCAGCATAAACAGAGTGGCTCAAAAGTGTTCTGTTAAGACAAGTTACTCCATTATCTTTTTTCTGAAGGTGAAGTTAATAAGCATCCCAGAATGTATTTCCTTATACAGGTGATATTCAGATACTTTAAGGTAACATTAAAGGGATACTTTCAGTTCTATTAGTTCATGCAATGAACTGAAATTCATCTTCCTCACTAAACCTAAAGGTTCACTTCATAGTATTTACATGAAAAAGAAAACACATTCAATATGGCAATTGAATAAAAAATTAATAAAGTTTGAGAATAATTGTTCTAGATACCAAAGAAGCATTTCTTTGTTTTTCCAACTTAGTTCTTCACGGTCTGGATTTGGAGAGTGAGCACTGTATCTTTGAAAATGCCGGGGGGACAGTGACGCTGATACCCCTAAGTGGGTCTCAGTGCTCTGTGAATGGTGTGCAGATCATGGAGGCCACACACCTAAATCAAGGTATTTGGGTTTGTGTTTTTAGAGTTTTTTATATATATATGTTTACTAGAAAACAATATGTAAGGGGGGAAGTGAAGACTGCTTCATTGTACTGTTTTTCTCTCATTTTGTCAAAGGACTTATTTATAGTACCATTGTCTTATTGAATTAAACAGGAACATGTATGTATTTGTCTTAGAAGTTACTGCTTTAGTGGAAATATGACTTCAACATATTGTTTTAAGTAAAAAAATTACCTTAACCCAATGGCTTCTTTTAATAATTTTATTACCTTATTTATATTTTTAAATGAAAAATTATAAAGGATCTGGTATCATCCCTTTTTTCCTGTTGAAATAATTTCAAGTATTATAGAAAAGTTTGAGACTAGTACAAAGAACTTTTTATTTTAGAAGCACTTGAAAATAAATTGCTAACAAGATGCCCCATCACCCCTGAACACTCAGTGCGTATCTCCTTTAAACAAGGGCATCTTATATGTAACAACAATCCAGCCGTTCAAAGGAAACTGACACTGAGATATTTCTACCATCTGGTTCTCAGGCCTCCTCTGCCATCTGTCCCACCAGTGTCCATTATGGGCCCACTATTCAGTCCCACATCCTGTTACATTTGGCTGCCATCTTTCTCTAGTCTCTTTGTTCTGAAAGATATCCTTTGTCTTTTCTTGACTTTTATGACTTTGGCAATTTTAAAAAACTATACATCAGATATGTCCCACCACATAAACATAATATCTGGTGCTTCCTCATGATATAATGCATTCTGACAGGAATATTAGAGAAATGATGCTGTATTTTTCTTGCACGCCATCATTACAGGGTGCCTATTGCCATTCCTGTTAGCATTTGATTAAAGTGGAGCTTGCTAGGCTTCTTCACTGTGAGGTTATCTCTCTCTCTCTCTCTTTCTCTCTCTTTCATTTTTGATACAAAACTGAAAATAACAAATAAAATAAATAGAAACTCATAAGTACAGACAACAAGTATGTTGACTACCAGCAGAAAAGGGAGGTTGGGGGGAGGTAGTAAAAAGGGTCAAATATATAATGATGGAAAGAGATTTGACTTTGAATAGTAAACATACAATGGTCAGAGGTCAGAATAGCAAGTGAACAACCCAAAACCAGGACACAGTGAGAACCCAGTGATCATTATCAAAGCACTGTTTCCTGCTTTCTTGCAAGGGCCCTGGCCATATGGGTTGGAGAGACTATTTCTTGTGTTAGTCATGGTGAGAGGCTGCTTTGCTATGAGCCCATAGAGTTATCATAATTGGCTGGCAGACAAGCAGTCACCATGTAGGGCTGTTTTGTAGCAGCCTTGCTTGTGAACACAGACCCTAGTGCAAAAAACATGGGTAATTGGAAGTTACACAGTTGACAGATAGCCCCACCAGTGAATTATGTAACTAGATTGAGATCCCAGCCAGACCACCTGTCTGTTGTCTGAGGACCTCAGTTGGAGATTCTGCTGCTGTTCCTCTAGGCACTAAGGGTGATACAGGGGACATGACAAGAGATTGAAGATGTGTTTATTTGTCCAGTAGAGATTACTGTATTGGCTTCATGTCCCTCAGGTCAGAGGGAGGGAATGTTGTTATGATGGCTGTGTTTATTGCTACAGGATTTTTTTAAGAGGTTGTGCTGGTTTTTAATATCATTCTTAACACATGAGCAGAAAGAACAGTTTCACTATTGCCTGCCAGAATTATAGGAAATAAATCATATATTTTTCCCCAGATTAACTTAAATGGATGTTTCATGTAACCATGTAACTCCATATAACCACTTTTTCATTTTTATTTAGCTATTTTCCCAATATTATTATTTATACTTAAATATAATTTTGTTATTCTTTAAATATACTTTCTATTTGCTTTACTTGATTATTTTCTTTGGGGTTTCTTTGATAATTTAAAAAGCTGCTATGGAACTAGTAAACATTTTATTCTTTTTTTAAATTTAATTTTGTTTTGTTTTTTAAAATATATTTTATTGATTTTTCACAGAGAGGAAGAGAGAGAGCTAGAGAGCTAGAAACATTGATGAGAGAGAAACATCTTGCCTCCTGCACACCCCCTATCGGGGATGTGCCTGCAACCAATGTACATGCCCTTAACTGGAATTGAATCTGGGACCTTCCAGTCTGCAGGCCGACGCTCTATCCACTGAGCCAAACCAGTTTTGGCAATTCTTTTTTGTTGTTGTGTTGTTATCCATGATTTAATTATGTTTTCAAGGATTTCATTTAGAAATGTTTCATTATTTAATGCATCTGGGATTCACTGATATGTAGCGAATAGATCTAATTGAATTTTCCCAACATTGGTATACTGTCCTATATAATAAAAGCCTAATATGTAAGTGTCCAATCATCTGATCATCCGTTCCACCAATCAAAGTGTAATATGTTCATGATATGTAAGGCCGCTCCACCACTTGCTATGATGTGCACTGACCACTAGGGACAGATGCTCCAACCAGTAGGTTACCATGCTGCTGGGGTTTGGTCAATCAGGACTGAGTGAGACTGGCTAAACATGCCCTGAAGCCCTCCTGCAATTCCTCCCAGGCTGAGTAACCTCATGTATCCCTCCCTGACCCCAATTGTGCACCACTGGTGCACAATTGGGGTCAGGGAGGCCTGTATCCTCCCTGACCTCAGCCTGGCCTTTACCCTCTTCCAATCTGGGACCCCTGGGGAAATGTCGGAGAGCCAGTTTCAGCCCATTCCCACAGGCCAGGTCAAGGGAACCTACTGGTGCATGAATTCATGCACCGGGCCTCTAGTTTATTATAATCCTTCCCTGCCCTACACCTACCTCCCTTTTGAATAAACTTTATTTACCAAAAATGAGAATACATACTATATATATATATATATATATATATATATATATATATATATATCTACTTCTTGGCTTTCCACTTTGTTCTAGTTCTCTATATTTCTACTTTTGTATCACACAATTTAATGCTTGTTGTGTTGTAATATGCTTTAATTTCTGTTCTCATCTGAGTGGCATTTTTGCTATTCATGTCTATTGATTTTTTCAAAGAAGTTTTAGAATCATTTTACTCTCAAATACCCTTTGAGAAATTAGATTTGTTTTCATTTAAAAAAAAATGTATTTCCAACTAGGGATTTCTACTTATTCAATTAGATCTGGAAAACATAATTAAATCTTGGCTACATAACTGATAAAATAATAAAAAGAATTTAAATTTATATTTTTAAGTTTTCATCTCCCAATAAAACTGAAGGCTTTTAATATATACTTGATGGACTGTGTTTATCCATGTATACACAGTTCTGTTCAAAGTGATATACATTAACTGCCCCAAAACAGAAACAAAAAACAACCCTTCATTCTGTAATGTTTCCATTATAGTGTGTTGCAGGTATTTTTTATTGTTTGTTTTTAAGTACAGCAGGCTCTTAATATCAATTTTAAACCATATGGGGAAAGTGGGACCCAAAGAATTCAGTACCTGGATTGTAGGATTTCTGAGTCTGCATTGTTTTTGTTTTGTTTTTCAGATAGCTAGAATGAAGTCTGGTGTTTGTGGAAGTTAGAGAAGGAATTATGGTTGAGATTAATGTGGGGGATATTTAGTAGAAGCAGAATCACAAATAGCCCACAATCTTCAGCATTGGCAGCTGGGTCTTGTTTTCTGGCCTTCAGACTGTGTCCTCTGTTTGCTTTCCCTGCTACAATCATGTTTATCTGAAGCTTCTGGACCTTACACCACCCACAGTCTGCCCACTGGATGCTGAGAAGATTGACTGGATTACAATGGCCATCACTGATACTGTGTTAAAAGTTAAACAAGTCTCTTGTGGATTTGCTTGGAAGCTTTTATGCATAATGATGTTTCTGTAGGAAAATCAGTTTTGAGTTCCAAACAACATACTGTAACAGGAATGTGTAGAGCACATATTGTTTAATGTGGGAACTGCTTAGAACTTAATATTTAATATTGGGGTTGTCTTTATACCTCTTCCCTGAAAAAAACAAAACAAAACATGATAACTTATTTGTTTAGTTCAAAGAAATTGCTTTTAATTTCATTGCCATTTGCTATGTAGCTATGATTATGTCTTGAACTCTCTTGTGGATTGAGTATGGTAATGAGTATATAATATTTTTATTAAGTGTATTTTTTGTCTTAAATTTTACCTAAATTGAAAATCCATTTAATATATATATTTAAATATATTTTATTGATTTTGTACAGAGAGGAAGGGAGAGAGATAGAGAGTTAGAAACATCGATGAGAGAGAGTCATCCATCAGCTGCCTCTTGCACACCCCCTACTGGGGATATGCCTGCAACCAAGGTACATGCCCTTGACCGGAATCGAACCCAGGACCCTTCAGTCACCAAGCCTACGCTCTATCCATTGAGCCAAACCGGTTTTGGCTGAAAATCCATTTAAAAATATGACTATTCAAGTTAGTGATGACTGGAATTAAATTTTTGATCTATTATACATATTGAATAAATAACTTGTCCTAAGAAACTATAATTAGCATTCAAGGTTAATTGACAGAATTTCCTCTCCCTGTGCGGGTACTCTTGTTTTAATACCATGGTGCCATGATTATAGGTCTGATGGGCTTGAGTTTCTCTGGCATACTGCTCTGCTATCGAAAAGCTACCTCAGAATCACTATTAATAAAATTGACATAAGAATGCTGTTCCAAAATGTTAGAATAGTGAAATGCAAGATGACTTTATGTTTTAAGGCATTACATAAGAGAAGCCTGTAACAATAAGACTTTTTAATGACATATTTTTAAGACTCAAATTGAAAGATTCCATTAAGAGAAAAATATGTACAGCCCTTCAGAAATTAAAGGTTAGAATTCTCAACTTAAGTTTCTTCATTTTTTAAGTTGTTTTTTAAAATATGTTTTATTATTTATTAAGTATTTTATTATTTTCTATATGAAAACATATAAACCTATTTTTGCTACACCCTATATGTAGTAAAA